TTATGTAATGTACTTGTTTCAGTTTTTTTATTTTTTTATTTTTTTAACAAAGATGTGACTGTTCTGTTTTTGATTTGCCATTATGGTGTATGGAGTGCAGATTGATGTGGAAAAAAAAGTAATTTATAGCAGTTTAACTGCAACACAACAAAACTTGAAAAAAAAAAGAACTTTCGCAAGGCACTGTGTATGTATATATATATATATATATATATATATATATATGTAATTTGAAATTGGAGAAAAAAATGTGCTTTAATGTGGCAATGCAAAGAACAAAATTAATGGTCCTATTTTCTTTATGGAAAATGCATAACTGCATATGATTTGAGGTGGAATATGACGCATTTATGAGATTCGCCCATTTGTATGGCTGGTTCCCAAAGCTAGTGTCGACTGTGCATTCAGAGATCACTCGCCTCTGATAAACACAAGCAGAATCATTCAAATAAACCCAAAATCAAACACACACATCCTTAATCAGTGAAAAAGGGTAACAGAGTCACAGAAAGTCGCAAACATTTACATACAAGTACACTGAAGACATTTGCTGTTATGCAATTCATCAACATGAAAAGATAAAACGAAAAAAAAAAAGACGATTTGTCTGTTTTAGCCACATCTTGGTATTCTAGTGGCTAGAAAATCATATAAAATTAAAAACACGTCACATTTTAAACTGATGGAAATTTCCAGTTACGTACGTTTGGCCTTTTCCAGCAACTCGTCCGATTTTTGACAGACAGAGCTGGAGTTTGACTTGCAATCAGATAAAATGACTAAACGTTCGAATTATGAATCTAGATTCGCTAATAAATAAGAGCTCTAGCTCAAATCAGCTTTAAATCGTAAAGCAGAATTTCCAGTCGCTCCAGGACAGACGTCCAGCTACAGTGTAAACGAAATCCTTGTGCGCTAATTTTGCAAAACAAAAAGACCTTAAATAATTTAAATCATTACATACATCAGACTCAGAAGGCAAAAGTGAGGTCGTACCAGTCGGTGCTCTCGAATTTCAACTCATCTTCTACACTTGTATTTTTCTTAAGTGCATTCGCAGGAGTTTTTCGCGCCATTTCAACTTGGCGAGTTCGTTGTTAGCATTCACAGCGTCTGTGCATCTACCATATATGAACGTTCGGTTTTCTAAATGGCAAACGTATGCTTTGATAACTTGATCGTTGTGTGCTAAACTACGCGACTTTGTCGCCATGCTATGATGTGATTTCAGCACTGAGTCTGTGGTGTAGGAGGTGATAGCGTGCTACATTGCGTTTGATCTCGCTAATGGCGAAGCAGAGAGGCTAAGCCCAGATTTTTGCAAGCGATGTGAAACTAAAAGACATGTTTTTGCTGTTAAGATTTTTTTCTTAGGAAAACGTTTTGAATAAGGATCGTTTGATGAGATTTTCGATTCAAGTAGGTAGCAAACAGCCTCTCCCGTTTGGCTCCTTTTCCACGTCCAGACGTCTTTTTTTTAGCTGATCAGAGAGCTGCGTCTGGTCAGGTCCACATTACTAGCGCTCAGTCCTCTGGATTCTGACAGGCCGCTGTTAGATTCCTGAAGACACACACACACACACAGACACATGAATATTTGCATCACGTAACATAATACCGTGGAAATGCACATCAATTTTAAAGACCATGTTAAAATTCACTTCAAATTCCATTCAAAATAAGCATAAAATGAAAAGCTTAATCGTACTGTGATTTGTACAGGTTATTCTAAATCTCATTATTTTAAAGTAAATATATTTGATCAAAAATACAGTAAAATTGTGAAATATTTTTACTATTTAAAATAGCTGTTTTCTATGTGAATATATTTGAAACTGTAATTTATTTCTGTGATCAAAGCTGAATTTTCAGCATCATTACTGCAGTCTTCAGTGTCACATGATCCTTCAGAAATCATTCTAATATTCTGATTTGCTGCTCAAGAAACATTTCTGATTATACACACCTGTGAGGTTTCTTCTGCGCTCTTGTTGAGGAAATTTAAGGAGCTCGCCCTCTTCATCCTTTTGAACCAAACACAAGCACCAGTTGAAGAATGATCTCTAGTCAGTTAGTTTGTTCTTGGGAGAAGACTGAGGGTGCTGTGTTGTGCTCGAGTCTCACCCGGGGTTGCGTGGCTCCTGAGGGCCGCTGCCCTGCAGCTTCTTCACCAGCATCTCACTGCTGCGGCGCAGCGCTTCACGAATCTTCCCGAACGAGCCGCTCCTGCGCAGGGCGCCGTTACCATCCTGTGCCCACAATATATGATCAACCTCAAGAATTATACACACACTACCAGATAAATACATAAATGATATTTTTTGAAAAATCTCTTATGCTCACAAAGTCTACATTTATTTGATCAAAAAAGACCATGTTAAAATTCACTTCAAATTCGATTCAAAATAAGCATAAAATGAAAAGCTTAATCTTACTGTGATTTGTACAGGTTATTCTAAATCTCATTATTTTAAAGTAAATATATTTGATCAAAAATACAGTAAAAAACGTAAAATTTTTAAATATTACTACAAATTAAAATAACAGTTTTCTGTTTGAATCTATTGTAAAATGTAATTTATTTCTGTGATGCAAAGCTGAATTTTCAGCATCATTACTCCAGTCTCCAGAGTCACATGATCCTTCAGAAATCATAATAATATGCTGATTTGCTGCTCAAGAAACATTTTTGATTATTATCAATGTTGAAAACTGATAATGTGCTGCTTCATATTTTTGTGGAAACTGTGATACACTACCATTCAAATGTTTGGGGTAAGTGTATAAAAAAAAATAAAATAAAAAGATTAAAAATAATACTTTTATTCAGCATGCATGCATTCAATTAATCATAAAGTGACAGAAAACACATTTATAATCTTACAAATGATTTTTATTTCCAATAAATGCTGTTCTTTCGAACTTTCTATTCCCTTCATAATCTATCACAGTTTCCACAAAAATATGAAGCAGCACAACTGGTGAGCCGGCAAGCCGTTTCAAACTCCCAAAACTAACAAAACGAACTTCGTTTTGGCATGATTTTGTTCAAAATTATGTCACATCAGTTCGTTCTTCGATATTGTTTGAAGTATATCGGGGCCTTTATTTTAAATTGTAATAATATTTCACAATATTACAGTTTTTTCTGTATTTTCGATCA